ACTACGCTCCAAAGAGCGATCCTCTTCGTTTTCTCCATACCCACTCACATCCGAGATTTTCAAACGCATGAAGCAAGTAATGCGCGATGATCTGAGCACTCGTAGCCAACGACGGATCGACGCTCTAAATGCTAAGGAAAGAGAACGCAAGATAGAGCTTGAAAAACTAGGTATTTTATCGCCCGAGCAACAGCTTGAGGCGAAGTTTGACAAACTTCTCAACGCAAATGTGGCGTAATGAAGGTCCTGGTGGCAATAGCGAACGGTCTGGACGAGATTTGAAGCGGTGCGATCACATACAATTGTTCTTTTGTCAATTACGAGCGCTTCGTATAAACGTTTACTGAGGTGTCATTGCAAATAGTGCGTGGAAACAGTGTGGAAAGCGACTATTTATCAACTTTACACATGGTAATTGAATGATAATTGCCTATCTACCCATAACGATCAAGTTGATCACTGCTGAAGGAAATGGTATAACGCGATGCGACGTCATACGAAAATTTTGCTTGTTTTGTTAGGTTTTCTCACTTTTCCGCTAAGTTACTAGAGGTTACAAGGTCATCATTTGCCTTGACATGTGGCAAAAAAAACTACTTCAGTACACGTTATCTGCTACAGATAACGTTGAACTGGAAAAGATGTACTTAAGTATCGTTTAGGACCTCGTATACAAGCGAAATATTGGTATCAACTTATACGGAGACAGTCCTAGAGGCAACCGAGAACACTGGCTTGGGTCTGCAGGTACTGCTATGAGCCCGACCGAGCCATATCCGTAACTAACGCTCGCTTGGACTGCTGTATAAGTATCCAACTTTGTTTTGAGTGAGTGACCTGAGAGTACACTAGCGCACAGTAAATCACGCTCAGGTTGTTCAAGCCGTTTCTTCTGGCGATACACTATTGTCCTCAACAATGGAAAACATATTGACAACAATAGGTTAGCATCAGTAAAAGGTTGAGCAGACTAGAGGACAGGCAAACCCAGATTCTCGCTCGTCCAGCCGAAACAACAGCACCTTCGTTTGCAAGCTCCATCAGTCCTGTAATACCTGTCGAGTCCATGATACCGCTTCTAGTGGGCCTAGGGCTCACTAGTTAGATTACACGTGTGCGCACGTATAGGAGGAAGCTTAGCTGTTCCTAGCTTGTATAGCGTGCACACCATGCGTGTATACGATAAGACAAGATAGGAGCTAGATAGCGTAAAATGAGAATTGTATTGTTTTCCTATAAAGAGACTTTCCTTCCTAAACTATTATCGTAAATCTAAGGGATTGTCAGCGGGTGGCGGACAGTGATCCGCATCGCATATTGGTAGAGGTGTGGCGCACTCTACCAATATAATCTCTTTCACATGCAGGCTTGGTGTGTCCACAACAAGACGAGAAAGTCTCTAACTTAAACCGGTAAATGTTACGGTTAGAGTTTCGTGTAACCCCGTTACGTCACCCCCGTTACGATTTGACATACTGGTCACAACACGTCAATCTAAGTCTTGACAAGACCATCAAGTCTCCGAGAGAACTCCTCGCCCATTTTGCAATGCGTGCGCCTCTGCAAACACCAGCGTCTTTGCCAGTGTCCGCGTCGATTGTAGCGTTGATCCCGCGTCCGCACCAATCTCGCGTCGGTGCCTGTTTCCAGATCCAGGAGAAGAAGCTCGAGCTCGAGGCGAAGAAGCGCGCTGGCGCCTGCGAAGCCAGCTAGTCTGAAGACTGTCTTCGATGGTTCGTGGGTCCTCACGTCCGGCGGTGGTATCCCCGTGGAATACGAGGATGGAGATCTTGGAGACGAGGTATCCTCGTCTTCCCATCCAAACCTGAAGCAACTTGCCACCTCGGATCCGCCGGCTGTTACGCCGGATCCTCCTGTTGTTCCGTCGGAGCAACGTGATGCCCCGCCCACTGACGACTCAGTGCGCGAACCTTGGGTGCCGGCTGAGAGTGTTATCACAGCACGGTACGGGCGCACGGTTCTTCCGAACGTGATACCGTTGTACGTCGACTCTCTTCGAAGGTCTTGTTGGTCTTCGCAACCGACGGCGCAACACCGTTGGAACATGCCACGGGCAGAGTTATGCGTCTGTCGGCGACGTCGGACGCTATTCATATGGTCAACCCCGGGTTGACCAAAGGCTTCTGTCTTTCTGAGAAGCAAAAAATCGCGCCTTGAACAAAGTCTAGCACTTGAGAGCTGAACCATAGTTTCAGCTCGTTGACCTTGTTTGCGTCTGTGTCCTGCACAGGCTCGCACCTTGTGTTCGCATCAGTCCCAGACTGTGCGTGGCTCTACGTAGCGTTAGTGCCCGGCACTGACGTATTACTTGTGCTCCGAGCAGGCCCCGCCTGTGTGTGAGTCTTTTCTGTATCAGTGCCCGGCACTGATACTATATACGTGATCGCAACAGACCCTGTCTGTGCGTGAGACTTCTCAGTATCCATACCCTGTATTGATACATCACTTGTGCTTGCAACAGGCCCTGCCTGTCCATGGTTCTTCGCGGTGTCTGAGCCCGGCACATACCCGTTGCCATTGCCCATAGCAGGGTCCACTGCTCGTAGTACTTCACAGTGTCGGTGCGCGACACTGACACGTCACCTTAGGCCACAGCGTGGCGCTGTCTCGTGCGGGCTCTCGCTCTCGCACGTAACTTCACTGTGTCAGTGCTCAGCACTGACACATCTTCTTCTGAGGCATCGCGCTGCCTTGTGCGGGCTCTCGCTCTCGCACATGTCCTTACAACTGATATGTCCGTATCAGTTGTCGTCTGCGGTTAATCGACATCAACCGTAGCGCCCATCCCCCACTTAAAATGGTAGATTCCTGTCTTCTTTACATAGTAAAGTAGAATTGCACACGGTACTAGTGTGCACTTGCTCGTAAGTGAGAGGCCAACTTCCGACGTACCATGACGGAAGGAGTTGAGAAAAACTCAATCAACTCTTGCGGCTGCGTCAAGTGCAAACGCAGCCTTTGCCGTGGCAATATTTCCGGTCGTCGCGATAACACGTGTGCGACGACATTCAACTTTTCGGGTTTTGTGGACCCGGAAGCCGTTATCCTCTCGCCCGAGGGACGAGATGTGCGCCGACTTCATCGTTACCCGCAACGTCGTTTGGTCGGTATAGACCACGAACGACGTGTTGCCGAGTGATCGCACACGGCACTTCTGGAGTGTATGCTTGATGGAAAGGGTTTCCTTGCATTGCACTGGATCATCAACGCGCATCAGATCGCGAAATCGGATGTATTCGGGACAAGGATCGATCTTGGACAACCGCTGCCAAGATCGACGCAGCAGCCAATCCTAGCTTGGCCGCAGCTGTTAAATGCGGCCACGAAGTGCCCGTTTTCGTGCGCGTTTCTTCTTCCCGTCCACAACCCGGCTGTGAACGTATTCCACGTAGAAGCAGCTCGGTGCGAAGTCGCGCACCGAACCCAAGCAATGCGTCGCGCACCTTGCTTGTTTCCGCGACAGTAGCCACTGTTGTGTCAGGGTACTTCTTCCGCGGTACGAGGTCAATGCCGTGCTGTAGCCTTGCGTCCTGCGGAAGATCCGTGGGAGTCTCGTCCGAGAGTCCATCCTTGAGCTCTCGCAAAATCTTGCAACGCTGCTCGTCGAAGCGTTTCTGCTCCATCTTGCCACTGAGAGTATCATCACGCTGAGTGGCTTCCACTCAGCGTCGAAGGGTTGGCTCAACTCATCTGCGTCGCTTGTCATTCTTTCGCGGTCCGAAAAAATGCATAGCTGTTCGATGCGTCCATCGTACAGGTTCTTTGCGAAGCGCTTCCAGCTCATAACTGGAAGCGAGGTCAACTCCGACGTATCAGTCGGAGGGTCCTCCAACTCCATCTTCTTGTACTGGTACCCAGCCAAGCTCGCGTCAAGACTTTCAATGTCTCGATGGCCACTGTCGGCTCTTGTGTCTGCCCGGTAGACATATCTTGAAGAGTCTCGGTCCCGGACCGAGACTTGCGCAGCGTGTTGTGCTTGCGCCGTAACATCTTCTTGTGAATCCGGTCTTCACTTGCGTTTCGTCCAGGCCTGGCCATGGACGAATGCTACAGGCAGTCATTCCAGTCTGCAGGCGATAGCCGGCGGGTTCTTGTACCCGCGGGCACGCGTCATCAAGCCCGGCTTGATCACGTCCTGCTACGTCCAGCCCAGCTGCACGACAGCATGCAAGTGCTGGAGGTTTGCAACGTCCACACAGTTTGTCGCATCGACCCCCGGAGTCAATGCATTCTCGTCACCTCTATGCCTTGCGGCGGGGACTTTCTTCGTAGTGTCTGGTCCCTGACCAGACACTCCTTTTCTGTCAATGACTCCCAGAGTCGTTACAGCCCGCGCGCTCCGTGGCTTACGACCGGAGATAACGGCGCGAGCCACTGTCTCTGAAGGACGTTCGGATGCACCGTTAAGTGTATCCGCTGCGCTAACAGGGCTATCGCTCTCTGTTACACCACGGTGTCCGAAGCGTACGACCGTACGCTTCTCCCCGTCGATAACAAGATCATGCCGTGCAAGCCACGGCATGCCCAACACCATGTCGAACTTGTCGTTCAAGTCCAGAATGAGAAGTTCTTCCACAAACATCCGGTATTTGTACGAGAAACGCGCGCGAATTACGTGCTTCTCGGTCTTCACGATGGTACCCGTTGCCAATCATTGTTCCAACTGACTTCGAGGCACCTACTTCTCTTCGATCTCTAACAATGACATACATTGCTGTCGAACACGTTGTTCGACACGGCCGAGTCTGCCAACACTCAAAAAGAGTCCGATCTCTTCGTCACCGACGTCATCTTCAAGATGGCAAGGATTGACTTGTCATCTTGTTCCTTGCCGTGAGATCCCCTCTCACTGGGGGCTGCAGTCTCCATACCGCGTGTCCGTTGTAGCCACGCGTGACTGCATTACCAACAGGGCTCCCCGCACCTACTCGTTCGTCGCGTTTTTTGTTCGCCCATGACGATACCCTGTATCGCCACGTCGACCTTGGACCGAGTGTACTGGTGTCGTACACTGGCGTGCATAATGTCCGATGTTTCCGCATCGGAAGCATCGCACGTTGGCTCTCGTCCCCTGCTGACCTGGAGCTGCTGCATTTGAAAGGTCCATTGGCTACGGACCTTCCGCCTCGACAGCCTGCTCAGGCGGGAGTGGAACGTCCACATGTAGTGTAGCCTGCCGAGGTCTAAACCTTCTTGCATGGCGAGAGTTATCGCAGCTTCGAGAGTACTCGGGTACTCTCGGAAAAGATAGGTCTTCAGAGGCCCATCCTTCAGCCTTTTTATGAACGTGACGACCTTGGTCGTCTCGTCAATCGGTTTGGTCACGACGTTTGAGATCAAGTACCTTGCACGTTGGGCGTACGCACGCACATCTTGCGTACCCTGCTGCAGGTCGAGAAACTCAGTTCTTGACCGGAACTCATTCTTCGGGGACTCAAACGCAAGTTTGATCTCCTTCTTGAAGGACTCGTTCATGCTGAATCACGTAGGATTGGCGAGTCGGCGCCCGTAGGCCCAACTCTGCGTTCGTCCGCCAACACAAGACCCGGCGAAGGCAACCTTCGACAGTGGGCCGACAATACGTCTAGACATAATGGCAGTGTTGAGTTCGACAAGCCAACCGAGAAGGGTCTCATCTTCTTTGCCTTCGTAGTTACTGATGTGCAACTGTAGATTCTCCTTGTAATTGGTTCCAAATTCACTCGGGATGCAGCAATGATCGTTAAAATATGTAGCATGTAACCCTTGTCATCGAAAAAGCAGCACCAAGGCCTCGATGTTGGCGTTAGAGAACGTACACGTTTGGGTGAAAAATACTGTCCCACCACTTCGTTTTCAGCGGTTCTGATCGTGGGACGAATTCAACAAAGTTTTAAAGACATTACGAGAATCTTAATTTGATCTAGTAGCACTCCACTAATGTGAATAAACTAGAATGTCAAAAAGCTCGAAGTTAGTTATGACTCGTATTCATCATCTATAGCACGTTTCCATTCCATTGTATGAGCTGACGCAAGGGCTTCCTGCGACGTCGTTGGGTTCAACAAGTCACAAACTGTTGCGATCATCATGCATTGAATGAGGGACATCGCCACGTAAATATTACTGGGATCATACCTTGGTGGTTTGGCGTCGAGCACGTGTAGATGTGCGAACGGGCCCACTATAAGAATTAGTAGGTAGTAGACCAGTTCTCCCACTAGGCTTACGACCCCGCCTCGTTGTCATTCTTGTGCCACTCCCACTATCTTCGAAAATATTGGCAGTATGTCCATCCCTTCGGCTGATTTCAGCACTAGTGACATCGGCTTACATAACTTGCGGTTCACTCCCATTGAAGTCACTGTCACTATCATCTTCACTATCATCGTTGATATCAGCACCGCTAGAATCTGTCATGTCCCCATCACTGTTTTCTTCTTCCAAACTAGAATCAGACATTTCAATATCTTCATCGAAGAAATGACGTTCCGATCCGGCATCCATGAAGTTTGCAGCATTCATTTCATCTTTAAGCATAACCTCTTCATCCACTGGAAACTTATCCACTTGAGTTATAGGAAGGGAAACAAAATCAATATGATTTGGCAGCTCAACTTCATCCCCAAAGTATGTTTTATCAATTAGATATCTCAAATAAGTAGGATCTGTCGCTATGTTTTCATAAAACACAACATCACGGCGTTCAATAAGTTTTCCAGTTTTCAAATTCAAGATACGATAGCGCAGCAATGTCTTCACGAACCCCAGAAACACGCCGGGATCGGCTACCATATCCAACTTGTTGGGACGTTTCTTCTTCGGAATGTGATGAGAAACCACACAACCATACACATGTAGATCCTTCACTTGCGGTTTGCTACTAAACATTTTTTTCATATGGAGTCATGCCGTCCAAAGCTTTCGTAGTGCTCATATTGTCTACTTCAACGACATAACCAATCTCTTCACTCCAAAGACCTTCTGGAAGTAATGCTATATCATTAGTAGCGCAAACTTTGCTCATCAACCCTCCCATCAACTTCTCAACCAGAAAATTTTCCTCTGGTGTGGAAGCATTCGTTGTGAGAAGTTCAATCTGATGTTCATTTAGAAAGTTGGTCAATTTCTCGTTCACAAATCCTTTACCTTGGTCACAAGAAAATATATTGGTTGAGATCTCTTTTCCGAGCTTCAAAATCAAGGCCATCACATTATCAGCAGCTTGAACCTTCGTTTTCAACTGAAAACCCCATTTATAACGTTAAGCTTCGTCTTGAATAAGCTGGAAGTAGATGTTGCCACCTGGAGTACATTGCAAACATCCGACATCAAGCGTGCATAGCACTCCTTTTGACGTTTCTATTGTCGTTTGTAAGACATACGTTTCTGTTTAGCTCGATGGCAAGCAATACAGCGAAATAGCGAAATGGCTTTTTGAAATCTGCCAATGTCAGTTATCCCATGCCTTCCACCATATCCAGTTCAACCATCTTCTTAATTTGCCTGTATATTGAGATGTCCCAATTTCATGTGCCACATCAGCACTTTATCATTTGTACCAGAAGAAGTCATTGCACAAACCGCGTTTTCACCATAACAGGTGTTGCATCTAACCAGTAATGCCTGTGTCGTTTCTTAAATACCAACTTCACATCAGGATAAAATGCATTTGTGAAATACGTAACACGATCTTCTGGAGTTGGAGCTGATGGTGTTGCCGGTTCCCAACCACCCTGCTCGAGCCGCTCTTGGCCCACTAGATTAGTGTGTCCTTCTGATGAATAACGCGTATCACGTAATTCTAATAAAACTCGCTTTCGTTCTGAATCCACAGCATGTATTGTTCGAACTTGAACAAGTCCGATTCCATCCGATGTAGCCCTATCACCTTGCCAATTATCGAAAGACTCAGTATCTTCCTGAATTCTATCTCGAAAGGCTGATAAATCCGTGCAAACATGAACATCAGTGCCGGTGTCAAACATCTACGTTTGTTCAAAACCGTTAGAAAACCGACCATACTCTGTAAGCCATCTTCACCACTTGAACAATGCACCATGCCAACCGTTCCAGGTCTCTTGGGCCATCTTCCAACGTATCCAACTCCATTGGACTTTGCCTTTGAACTCTTCGTACTTTTAATTCCAGCTGCAGAGTCATCATCGCTATCCGAGTCCTTTCGCTTCGGCTGATTTTGGTCCGCCTCCCATGCCTTACAATTTGCCCAAAGATGACCAGGAATTTTGCAATACCAACACTCTCGAGTCTCACTGACTTTCCTACCTCTACATTTTTACTTGTGTTTCTTGCTTTTCCACTGTTTCTTCCCTTTACTTTTCTTCATGGATCCAATTTCTTTCGCTCATCTTAGTAACCTTCCACTTTCTTATTGCGTTCTTCCTCAGCTTTATCCATCTCAGCTTCACCACTATTGAGAACTTGTGTAAGAGTAGGAGGATTATCATCTCGATTAAACATTCGAACTACGCTTCGATGTGTTCCTTCTACTCCAGCCAGAATAATACTTGCCCTGTCTTCATCAGTGATGACATTATTCATGTTTTCCAGCTGACGTCTGTAATCCTTAAGGTCTTCCAAGTATTTGTCCATGTTTTTCCTCTTTCAAATCTCACTCCGTACAGTTTGGCGCGAATTCGAATGCAGTTTGCAAAATCTCGTTTTGTCTTATCTTGCTCGAATAAAGTCCACATTTCACTGACCCGAGACATTTTGCATATCTTCTTTGAGTCTTTCGATAAAAGACCATGCAACAAAGCATCACGAGCAAAAAGATTCCTTTCTTCAAAAATTTGATGTGCTTCCTCGTTTCCAGTATCAGGACCTTCCGTACCCATTACCACATTCCAATAATCAAGCCGCCTCAAATACGACTTCAGTCTTGCCTTGTACAAAATAAAAACCTCCATCACCATCAAATTTAGAAGCTTTAGCTGCGACAGAAACCTTTCTTACACCTGGTTGACGTTGTTGTCCGCGTGGTTGACCTTGTACAACAACCGGAGGAGGTTCTCCCCCTGGTTGATTTTGCACATCATTCCGAGATGCTTCATCTTGAGGTTGATCTTGCTAAACATGCACACCGCGCTGACCCTCACGACCTTCGTTCTGGTGTGCTCCCAATTCCACCTTGGTACTGTTTCAATTCCTGTATTCACCTAGAAGTCTCTTGGACTCTTAACCTACGAGAATCTTTTTTGATCTCGTAGCACTCCACTAATGTGAATAAACTAGAATACCAAAGCTCCAAGTTAGTTATACAGCTCGAGTGAAAACCGCGTTATGGTTCATGTTGTTTAAGTCGTTGTATGGGAAAGCTCCTTGAGCGATAAAACCCCTGTAGCTCATTCTAGACTTGTGATCGCAGCCATCTATCGAAGCTGCACTCATGTAGAAACAATTCCAAGAAACCCTCAGGCCCTTTTCCTAGGAATGTAAAATTCAACTTGCAGTCTTGGCCTTCAACTATCACTCGCTAAGCATAGTCCTTCAGCATGCAATCCAACCAACCGCGGTGACTCGTCGAGCGCAGTCGAGTTCTCTAAGAATACAAAAACAAAAATATTTTCTTTTTCGGGTTCGCAGCTGGACCTCTAACCTGGCTCTTCGAGTCGGGCAAATGGAATGAGAACAATTTAAATCCCTTAACGAGGATCAATTGGAGGTCAAGTCTGGTGCCAGTTGAAGCGCGTCGCGCTGGTCGGCCGGATCCGGCCGACTTGATTGAGGCACTCGCTGAGTGTGACGAAGCGGATCCTTGGCGAAATCATTACCGCACTTCTGCGGCGGATCACCCTGCACGTATGGAATAAGTATCAGGTAGTTGGATCTGGCCACTATACTATCCAGATATCCAGACTACACTAAATACAATATCCCTAATACGAGATCACCTTGTATAACCAGTATAAGCCTTGATCTGAGGTGTCTGTAGTACACTAAGTGTGGATCAGTAAGCAAATCGTCAACTAACGGCATATCATACTCGATTATGGCTGTGACCGTGTTGACCATTTTATAATCAATGCATAATCGGATGTCTTCCCCATTCTTCTTCAGGACTATAACAATTGGTGAAGCCCACTGGTGGTCGGAAAACGACACGAGGTTTGCCTTCAACAGGCTATTTAGCAGCTCGTAGAGCTTCTGGAGATATCGGATTGGGATCCGACGATAGACAACCGCACGGCACGAACCAT